GAAAGCCATTACTGATGCCAATTGTCAGTCTAATTGGATTAGTACTGAGTGGTTAATCCATCCAGGTGATTTAAAGGCCGTCGTAAAGCAGATCACTCATTAGAGCGAAAACAAGAAAGAGCGGTAAGCCTACACTATACTAATATAAAACTTCTTGTTCTCTTTTGTGTTTCATCAGCTTTGACAAACTAGATGYTTTTTTTCTTTGCACGGCGGTGCAYGGATCACTATCTAGACCAGTGCCAAAGAGAACAAACAGTGTTAAATTATATGTTAATTATATATTTCTTTGATCATTTCTCATTGTTTCGCAATATATTTTACAAACTTAGATCTAGTCGGTACCACAAATACATATACTTAGTATATTTTTTTGTATATATTTGCCATATATTTCTTTATGACCTCTAATATATCATAAATTTGATTGAAGATTTCGGTAAATGTGGTCGACGAAGTTGAATATTTTAAAGATATAGAAATGAAGGAAAGGAATAGTGCTTTATAGAAGGAGGTTATTCCGGGAGAAAGACACTTGGAAACAAATTCGGAAAAATTAATCCGACCTCGCTGAGATTCTCGCGAAGTCTATMATAAGATATCTTAAATATACTCAGTTTATTTGAAAASTTACTATACTTTTTATATCAACAAAAACAAAATTCAGGCCTATCTATTTTCAGGCATGGCGCAGTCTCAAAAACGGCTGTTTGTACTTCTCTCGCTATGTCTGTTGCTGCAGCAGTTTTCTCCAGTCTTCAGCGGTAATCTATCAAGAACCAGAATCAGCGATGATGATGAAGAAAGGCAAGATTACGCGGAAGAGAAAGAGGACAATGATGACCAAGGTTTCGCTATATTTTTGCGTTCTTTTTATACTTAGAAATCGGTTGTGTTATTCTATATTCAGTGTATCGGTTTCTTTACACTGAATAGTTCTTTCAATTTCTTCAAAAGTTTTTAAAATTGTTTTAATTACAACAACCTAAAACTTTTCTTTTTTCCTCTCTTTATTTTATTAAAAAAAGAATGCAGCGACAGGGCTCCAAAAACAAGAACATTTTTCGTATTATTATTATTTTTTATACTTTTAAATATTTCTTGGATATTTACGAATCGGTTGTGTCGTTTTATATTCAGTGTATATATAGTTTCCTCATACTGAGTATTTTTTTTTTAATTTCTTCAATTTTAATTGAATTAACACTTTTTTTTCCTTTCTTATTTATCAAAAAAAGAATGCAGCAACAGGGCTTCCAGAAATTTTATTAAAGGAGGTGTCCAAAAAATTGGAAAAATTGTAACTAAATTCAATCCCACTTGGAAGCTCATTGGAAAAGGTACCTTTATCAAAAAAGTCCAAACTTTCTCAGAAGCAAGTACCCTGGTGACGTCCGTCACATCCTTAGGTTTTTCAATAGATCAGGATATAAATGGCTGTGCAGGACTTGCCCCAGAACTTCCACAGATTTGGAAGGACTATAAAGAAAAAGTTGGGAAATTTGATAAATTGACTAAGCAAATTTATGGAATACATAATCAAGGTAACTAAATCAGCCCGTAGGCTACCTTACAGATGGGTGGGAGGGGGAGGGGGAGGGGGAGGGGGAGAGGGCGGGAGAGGGAAAGGGGGGTTTCATTTTTATTAAATTGAAAATGCTTAACTAAATTAGCTCAATGAACAGTATAGAGGCTGCCGAACCCCCTCCCCTCCTCCCCCCAGCATATTGGCCTGTAAATGTAATTGTCTTMAATCGCTAGAATCGATATTTATATGGTTTGTAAATTTTTCTCTTTTGAAGCCCAACGTCTGCAGCTATACATCAACGAGAGCTTCTATGAGTACAAAARAACTCGAGATAAATTAGAAGAAATTGCAAATGAAAAGGAAAGTGTGTTTAATTCATTAGGCCCTGAAGTTATAGACTTTGTCAAAAATCAAACCTCCACAATTCAGGTAAAATAGCGCCAAAATAATTGAAACTTTGMACGAATTTTGCTAGGATATATTGAAATTCTTCACAACTATAAATCAGTGTGGACTTTCAAACTATAATACAGTAAAATATATTTTTCACCAGACACTCCTCAGAAATGCAAATAAAACCGGAATAAAAGTCAACGAAACCACGATCTTTTCAGGATATCTGTCTAAGGTTGACGCCAGCATGGATATATTTTGGGATTCAATGAGTTTTGCCTTTGCTGGGGGGAAACTTCTCTGGAATCTTTATATCAAGGACACCATCTTTGGGAGGAAACTCATTGACGTAAGATATTATATATATCTAAGACGATCTGGAATATCATATCAAACTTAAATCGCCGTTTACACGAGCAATTTTTCCTTGACAAATTTCTTGACAAGGAAAAATTGCCCGTGTAAATGGTCAACAAGTTTTCCTMGACAATTCTTCCTTGACAATGTTTCTTTGCTAGTGTAAACGAAGAACAAGTTTTCCTTGACAAGGAAAAATTGCCCGTGTGACAACAAGTTTTCCTTGACCAATTTTTCCTTGCCACATTTTCCTTGTTGTCCATTTACGCGATCAAATTTCGTCCTTGACAATTGCCTTTCCTTGACAAGGAAAAATTGCCCATTTTACCCCATTTACACGAGCAATTTTTCCTTGTCAAAGAAAACTTGTCAGGGAAAAATTGCTCGTGTAAACGCCGCTTAAGGGTGACAAAAAGTCCGTGATCACTCAAGCGTGACCAGATTTAAAGAATTTTTGAAGAAATGCAATGGTATTAAAGATCTATTAAAGACAATCCTAAAAATCTACCATCGAATTTAAGAAATAAAATATATATGTGACCTTTCTGTGTATTCTTCATGAGAAAATTTGAAAATCCAAGTATGTATTTTCGCCTTTGAAGAGTTTCCTCAAAAATTAACTAGAAAACAAGATCCCCACTGGGCTGCTCAAAACAAAGAAAAGTCAAGCTCGACGGGCAGCGTTTCGTTGGTTTTTGAGTCTGTTTACATTCTTTTGCCATCCAGTATGGCGGATTTAGTACCATGTGACCATTTCTACACTTTTAATATAATCTCCAAAGTTATCAGGGGCGGATCCAGTCGTTATATTTTTTTCAAATAAAAGAGGGAGGTGGCTAGCCACCCAATCCAGCCCCTGGAACCGTCCCTGGTTATATCTAGATTTACTTTCATTATTTTCTTGTATTCAAATCTATTGATAACAAATTGAGCTTTTAGCTTTGTTTTTCATTTTTTATTTGTAACCCTTTTCAAACTTAGCCTAGGTACCCCCATCATATAGCTGTAATTCTTAGACCATACTTTTGCTATTTTAAAATCTTACAAAAACTCTGAWTGGAAAAACTCGTTCCTTAACTAACCGCAATGGCCCTCGCGCTCGCGGTTAATATAATATTATCATAATAAACATACTATATTCCCTACCATCCCCAGAATTACCAACATTATCGTTATTCATTTCAGCTTAAAACCAAATTTAAAAAAGTCATATTCGGTGACAGCTCGGACATTGAAACACCTGACGGAACCATCAAAAATAAGGCAAGTAAAACTAAACGTTTTATTTCGTCAGTCTGGAATACAATACTCCATTTTACAGTCCCGAGCGCAATCTTGAAAGGTAGCCAAGCCTTTGCATCAAAGCGAGACAGGCGTTGAGCCTGCAGTGATAGATACCTTTTTATTCACACCTTAGAAACATCATTGTAAAATGGATAAATTATCCAAAACACGTTTTTGTACCTTTCTGAAATTCAGTCATGATACAGTGAAACTTGGGTGGGGGTGTGCCGCTGGGACCTCAAAACCCTGACCCTGTTCCAGAGCGAAATCGCTGAAAACTATACCCTGTTCCAGAGTAAAATCCTGCACTAGCCTGCGTTTAGACCGAATTTTTACACCATGAATTTTTATCCAGCATCAATAATTCCGGAATTCAACCCTGACCCTGTTCCAGAGTAAAATCGCTAAAAACGATACCCAGTTCCAGAGTAAAATCGCTGAAAACGATACCCTGGTTGACGGCACGTCCCCGTATAGCGCATATATGGGGGAGTAACCCCCCCTCCCTCCCCCCGGGTTTGAAGCCATCAAGAAACTCCCATTGACAAGAAAGAACTTACTAAAATACGTATTTTCACCGAATTCGATCGTATACTGATCAATGATACACCTTTTCAGTTGCTCTTAGGCCTCGACAGCTTGTTAAAGATTCTTTTGAATTTGTAGGAATGTGAGCAATGCAAACATTGATATGAATAGTCTCATTTGTCAAATTTAAAAGAATAATTAACTTGCTATCGAGGCCTAAGTGCAACTGAAAAGGTGTATTGCAGAACGGCGGCAAGCGTTAAACCTCGAAAAAATAAAAATGACATAAAAGASACCAAAAAGTACCTTACACTCTCTTATTTTTGCAAAATTCAAAAAAAAAATTGTCACTCAGTATTACAATAAACGTAGTTAAACTTGGAAATAAACATTAATTGTAGTAAGGTTTTTCATATGACGGGGATTTAGTCCAATAAGTTGAGGTGGACTATTTTCATRCTCGTTTTAAGATTCTAGTATAAGAAGTGTGAGGACTACTACTACCATCAATGCTTTGCTGTACAAAATGGCGTCGCTGTAAATTGCTCATTGCCATTTATTTTCGAACAGKATTCATAATCGTAAAAAACGATACGTGACGTTTTCTTTTAACATTTGAACAGAAAGGCCGATTGGGAAGACTGTCCAGCAGAATCAGGGCGAGTAAAATCATGAATACTAGATTTGGCAGGGGTCTGCAATCCATAGGAAACGCAATGAAAAATGGACTTCGCAAAGTGGCCAAAGTGTTTGGTAGCATTACTAAAAGGGTTACGCCATGGATGGGTGTCGCAAATTCAGGTAAGCGATATTGCATTGGCGACACCATTTTGAACCGTAAACTTTACTAGGAACAAGGTTCACTTTGCAAAAGTAAAGAGATCGCTGGTTTTAAGCTTCATGCATTCTTCAGTTGCGGATCCAGAGTGTTACAAAGGGTTGTGGCTGAATATTAAACTGAAATAAAAAATGAATCAAATTAGCAGTGCTTTAGTTGTTATTATTTTTTGTACCCTAAAAAAGCGAGCGGCTCTCCCTGGATCCACCCTTGTTTGCTATATATATTTCTCCCTAGCTTTAAACTCAATGACTTGTCTGAATATTCAAAATCAGCAACTATACTACTAATGTTAGCAATGCTCTTTCTTTGCTTGGGATCAGTTAATGTTCCTCTTCAAGTAACGGACGGGTAAAAATACTCAACCACTGAATGATATTGTTATATTGCAGCATTCCAAGTCTGGTACATCTTCAAGCAATATAAGAAATGCAAAGAGACGGCTAAAAAAGCTAAAGAGAGTTTAGCAAATATGACAAAATTGGTTGCAAATAACACAGAGAATTTAAACGAAGTCAAAGAAAGTTATCTACTCATGCAATTGGTAAATCATCCGTGAGCATTAGTCGATAATCATGCCATTATGCAGTACAACGTCGCGTGTATGCAAGAACCTTGGCAATCTGAACAGGTTCTTAAAAACAAACAAACAAAAAGCAAAACAAACGCAAAAACAAAAACAAAGAAGCACAAACAAAAACAAAAAGCTTGAAATCACGCTATCCATCGGTTCTTTGCCGGGGTTCTTTGCACGAGGATTAAATAAAACAGTGCATGATACCAAAAACACATTTATAAATGGAGAACACAGTAATTTTTGTAGCAGAAGATAAAAGCATGTTTTCCTTTCCTTTC